CCTGGGATCCCAGATCACCGCAGACTGTGACAGCAGCCATGAAATTAAAAGACGCCTGCTCCTTGGGAGGAAAGCGATGGCGAACCTAAACAGCATGATAAAAAGCAGAGGCATCACCCTGCCAACAAAAGTCCGCATGGTCAAAGCAATGGTATTCCCAGTAGTCATGTATGACTGCGAGAGTTGGACTATAAGGAAGGCCGAGCGCCGAAGAATAGATTCTTTTGAACTATGGTGCTGGAAAAGACTCTTGAGATAGAGACATCACCCTGCCAACAAAAGTCCGCATGGTCAAAGCAATGGTATTCCCAGTAGTCATGTATGGCTGTGAGAGTTGGACTATAAGGAAGGCCGAGCGCCGAAGAATAGATTCTTTTGAACTATGGTGCTGGAAAAGACTCTTGAGAGCAATGCTCCCTCTAAGCTGTGGGGACTTGTGAGCAAACCTTCTGTTTTGTGAGCTACTGGCATTAAAGTTGTGACCGAGCAATTGGGCCACTGCATAAATTAGTTTGCTCTGGAGTCATCCTTCCTGAGCTAAGACAAAAATCTGTGAGTCGGAGGCTAAAAAACTGTGAGCTAGCTCACACTAACTCAGCTTAGAGGGAACACTGCTTGAGAGTCCTTTGGACTGCAAGAAGATCAAATCAGTCAATCCTAAAAGAAAACAACCCTGACTGTTCCCCTGGAAGGCCAGATAATGAAACTGAAGCTCAAATACTTTGGCCACCAAATGAGAAGGGAGCACTCACTGGAGAAGACCCTGATGCTGGGAAAGATTGAAGGTCAAAGAAGACGGGGACAGCAAAGGATGAGATGGTTAGACAGTGTCATAGATGCAATGAACATGAAGTTGAGCAAACTTCAGAGGACGGTGGAAGACCGGAAGGCCTGGCGTGATCTGGTCCATGGGGTCGTGAAGAGTCGGACTCGACTGTGCGACTGAACAACAAATACCTTTGGGCTGCCCTTGAAAACAGTTCAGAAACTTCAATTGGTGCAAAGTGCAGTGGCCGGGCTACTCTCAGGAGTTGGTTGCAGGGACTATATCAACCCTGTGCTGAAAGATAGGCACTGACTATTCATCTGTTACTGAACACAATTCAAAATGCTGGTTTGGTGAGCCAGTTTGGTGTAGTGGTTAGGAGCGCGGATTCTAATCTGGGAGAACCAGGTTTGATTCCCCACTTCTGTACATGCAGCTGCTGGTGAGACCTTGGGTCAGTTACAAATTCTTTCAGAGCTGTTCTCTCAAGGGCAGTTCTTGAGAGAGCTCTCTCAGCCCCACTGACCTCACAGGGTGTCTGTTGTGGGGAGGGGAAGGGAAAGGAGATTGTAAGCTGCTCTGAGACTCCTTCAGGTAGTGAAGGGTGGGGTATAAATCCAATCTGCTCCTCCTCCTCTTCTTCTATTTCTTCTTCTTCTTCTTCCCCCCTTTAAGGCCCTAAATGGCTTCAGGCCAGCATACTCGAAGGACCATTTCTTTCCATATTGTCCATCCCATCAGTTAAGATCTGCTTCTCAAGTCCAGCTCAGCGATGAGGTAGATTGCAACCGGAGACGGGTTTCTTTCTGAGGTGGCACGATGCCTTTGGAACGTCCTCCCCCATGAGGCTCACCTCACACCTACTTTACTTTCATTTAGACACTAGGCTGAAACACATCTTTTTATTCAGGCTTTTAATCAGAGGTTTCTTATCTGCTTTTGAATGGTCTGCCCTATTTTATGGGTACTTTTTAATACTGCTTATATCTAATGGCTTGTGTTTTATACAATGGTTTTTCAGCTGTGAGGTGCCTCAAGCAGGACTCTGTGGAAGCAGCATAAACGTATTCTAAACAAATACGTCATAAATCATTAAAAAGTACTGTCGCGACAATCTAAAACAAACCATTTAAAGGTAGCAAAAATGCAGTGAAACACAATAACAGGCAACTGCAAC